ACACGAAATCAATAACACTCGCGCTGAGGCAAAGGTAATTGGGGTTGAGGTTGGAAGAGGAAAGGAGAGAGGAATGGACTCCAATTTCTTGGGCCTCACTGCCATTGTTACCGTAACCACTTCTTCTTCCTTGTTTGTTTCTATAGGAGCGCTCTCTGCTGGTTTGAATTATGATGTGATATTTTCTTAATTGTTTTGCAGTTGGGTTATCAGTTTATATTTTTCGTTATCACAGCACTCCTCAAGTTTGATAAAGTTACTGACTTTGCTGGTAAGAATTATTATATCTTCATCACCTTATCTTTTTGTTTCTTTGAATTTTCTCAATAGGACTTATTGAAATTCAATGAAAGGTTCATTTCCTACTTAAACTTTAATTCTATCAGATTCAATTTCTGATACAATTTCTAAGAGATGTCAATCAATTCTAACAGACAAGTGCTTCAATGATACTACTATAACTTTAGACCAGTGTAAAATTTCTTGTTTATTCTCTTCATTACACAAACACACGCACACGCAGTGCATTAGCTTTCTGATTCTATTTTAGCGATGATTGTACTAATTCAGAGTAGATTTTCCTGTTATCTAGATCATGAGTTAGCTTATACTTCATAAGTTTCCTCTTAAAACAGTGGGATATTCTATTTTGGCCTTAGATTCATGACAAGGTTATCATTATTGGGGATAAATTCTAGATATACCTACAGTAATAGAGTATCATGGCATGTCTACTTTATGTACCTTAACCATCCATTCATCGATAACCATGGTATTATTTTCCATGCAGCAGCTCCGTAATGACTACCAATCCTTGGCTTAAAATTTATTTATGCTTATATTGTGCCGGTTTCTGGGGATGCTTTTTAACTAGCTTTCTGTCAATCATTTTGCAACAGGAAGTACAAACTTCATTGTACTTGCTATTTTGACCTTGGTACTACAGGGTTCATGGTACTTTCGACAGGTAAGGTTTTGCATCAGTTTGTGATTTGCACGAATTTAACAGTTTTGGTTATTTTGTTAAAGTGTTATTTCCAGCCCAGGGCTTTGGCAGTAGTTACTTCCCTTCCCCTAAGAGAAAAAAAAACACTTCCCCTCCCCGAACTCCTTTCCTCTCCCCTAGGCCCCATGCACAGTTAGTCAGTTACCAGGAGCTTTGGACAACCATGTTTAAATGGGACCATTTAGTCTTAATACGTTGAAATTGGACAGTATTAGCTTTAAAGCTTCCCAGTCAGAACCAGAAAACTTAGTTTTTGAGCTGTTTTGGTTTTGTTTCGCACGTATTAGTGCTATTCATGTTTATTGAAATCTGCATTGTGCTCGAATATGTAATTGAAAGTGCTCAGGATATTGTTGCATAAGATTTATTCTGTTTAGTCATTCTGTCTTTCAGGTGATTTTGTCTCTGTTTGTAGTGATATGGGGCCTTCGGTTGGGACTATTTCTATTAATGAGGTAAGGCCAGTATATACTATTTACTATTAAACTTGTCTATATTTTTTCCTTATTTTGATCAACTATTATCATCATTTACAAAGAAATAAGAAGCTAATATTGGTCCTTTTGTTCCAGATTTTCCTTGTACTGCTCGCAATGTCGTAGAATTATAAATCTCTATGTGATATGATCCTTTCAATACTCTAGTTGTGTATAACATTTTCCAACTTTGGTGCAATTGTCTTAATCAGTTGTTCGAATAAGTATGCAAAAGAACACTATGATAAGCACTCCTGATCTTGTGGGAACACATTGGATATGTTGTTATTGTTGATAAGTACTCTATTATACTACCTCTATAAAAATCTTCCAATATGTTTTCTCAGCTACTACTACAATATGGCCAATCTATTTCCGTCCTGTCTGAACTTGAATTACTATTTTGAGATCTACAAACAATCCGGGGAGGAAGAGAAGAAAATATAGGAGAACACTAGAGAAAGCTAAAAGAAAACTGGTTAGGGTGTGGAAGGCGAAGTATAAGGGAAAATGTAGGGTCAGCTCACCAATAATGGAGAAAATTCCTGCAAAAGAAAAAAGAACTAAAAAGATTCCGATGGAGAATTGCACGCATGTAAATTCTGTAACTGGTTTGAGTTTGTCTGAAGCTTCCATAATTATGTGATGTTGAAAATCTTGAATAGAAAGAGAAAGTTTGTGACTTCCTAGTGAAGATAACTCTACTTTAAGAATTTTCAAGTTACAATGCTTCACTTCTTTATTTTTAAGCATCTTTTCACATCTATGAATGGTTTATATAGTACCTTTCAAACAAAAAGAAAAAAATTAGACTTACATTAGCTTTGTCTTTTCCCTACTTCATATCAGGATATTACAGTGGGGGGAGGATAGACGTTTTGATGACAAACGTGACAATCTTGGAAAACTGGCAATATTTTGGATACTTCAGGTTTTGTTTTCTTTTATCCAATCATCTTGTAAGTTGTCTTGCTCTATTTTGGTTTTGTGCTCTCAGTAGAAAGAGATATCTCGCTCTGGTGAATGAATACTTATTTTTCGCAGGCAACAGCAGAATGAGATATCTTGCTTTTGTGAATGACAACATATTTTTTATTGCAGGCAATCTGGGTATGGACTGTTAGTTTACCAGTGACAGTTGTTAATGCAAGCGACAAGCAGCCTCCTCTTCAGGCTCAAGACATCATTGGTTGGATTATGTGGTCTATTGGGATTTTGGTTGAGATTACAGCTGACCAACAAAAGTTGGCATTCAAAAACTCCCCAGAAAACAGAGGAAAGTGGTGTACTGTTGGCCTTTGGAAGTATTCACGTCATCCAAACTATTTTGGTGAGGTTAGTCCTTTGAACTGTCTTCTTATTTAAAAAAAGTCCTTTGACTTGTCCCCTCTATGGTGAAAGAGATTGTAGAAGTTATTGTGAGTTTTGATGTCCGTGAGGCTCAACCTGATAGAGCTAGTGATGCCTCGCTTGTTTTCTTGGTTTCAGTTTTCACATTTTTCCAGGTTCATCTTTAACTAAACCAGCTAAACATTTTATACTGTTGTTCAGATTTTTCTTTGGTGGGGAGTTTTCCTGGCTTCCACACCGGTGCTGGAGGGTGCTAAATGGCTTGTTGTGGTTGGACCAGTATTCGTAACCTTGCTGCTTCTTTTTGTTAGTGGCATACCCTTGCTTGAGGTACAATCATTCCTTTGTCTTACTACATTTGCCTCTAAACATGAACTTATGCTATTACGTGCCTAACTAAACAGGCATCAGGTGATAAGAAGTTTGGAAATGTTGCTGCATATAGATCATATAAGAGAAAAACTAGGTCGGTTTATAGTTCTCAGTACTATTCCTCTGATTATCAATGTAAAATGGTAAAATTGATATAATTACTGTTTCAGCCCACTCATTCTGCTGCCTCCTGGAGTGTATGGGAATCTTCCTCAATGGTTCAAAGCCATACTTCTTTTTGAGTTTCCTTTGTACAGTCGCAATCTTCCCCAAGAAGAGCTAAGCTGGTAAAACTTAAATCTTGTGCTCAAATGTTTGTCCTTCCCAGTTTTTTCTATTTATGCATATGACATATGTTGGCTTTAGGTGGTTCTTTTCTTCAGTTTAGGAAAGCAGCTTTCTGGAAAGTCAACTTAACACTCTTAACATTTTGTTGATATGTAAATGTATGTGTGTCATAACTACTCGTTTGCTGGGACTCAAATCTCAAGTTCTGTAGTACACAAGGTTAAACCTTAACTGGACGTGTATTTGTTTATCCTTTTTTATTGGTTAGATCAAGATTCTTTCATGTATTCGTCATGAGTGGAAATCTTGCAATCATCATGCTTAAAGTCTTGCTTTTCTGATGGTGATTCTCTTTCTCTTTGTTTTGTGTTTCTTTTTTCTGTCTATTCTCGACGATTCCTGAAGATATACGAATAATGAGATTTTAATTATCCTACAGGCTTGTTTCTGACTTATTTCCCCTTGAAGGACTTCCTCATTCTAGAAAAGTGTCTTTTTTCCTTCAGTGGGCGATAATGGTTTCCAGCTTTTCTTTCATTTGTTTTCCTATTGCCTTCTATTTTTCACGAAAGTTGAGTACATAAGGATTCTTCCTCCTGTACTATACTTTTGCTTGTTGCACCTTGCAAATATGACCGACGCAGCTACAATTGGTTTTACTTAGAGCCTCTGGCGCATGTGCATGTGTGATTTTGTTTATTTGCAAGATTCAAATTTATTTCGAAGACATTGTTATGGAATTCTAAAGAAAATTTTGTTGTTTGCAAGGAATAGAAGAAGCCAGCAAGGAAGCAGAGCAGAACAGAAGATGAGTTGACTGCTTAATTTCTAGGATTTCATACCAGTGCAAAAAGTTTGCTAGCTGGTCGATGCACATATGCTGGAAAACTGTTTCACTTAATTATTACCACGTCCTCTTTTGGCTGCTCAAATTCCCTATTTAACCTCTTCCTCATTGTGTATTTCTGTTCAATAATGTAAATCTTTTGATCAAACACGATCTCTTTGGTTGTGTTAGTTAAATGTCTCCAAACTTCTCTTGCTCTGTTCCCCAATTGTAATTTGGATCAATCATTGCATTCGCATAGTCGAGTAAACTCGTACATAGCTTGCTTAGTGTTCACTGACAATAAAGCCGCAGTTCAAAGTTCATATGTTTAATGCTTGTTAGAACTTTTTTACTTTGCCCCTCTCGGCGCCATCCTACCTTTTTCTTACTTATGCCTTTTGTAGTGGCATGTTGTAAGTAGTAATATTTGATACACGCAATAGACCTAAAATATGTGTCATTGAAGAAATGTGTTGCTAAATGTGTTTTTCATGTAAACTTTTTAACACTTAACCATGGTCAAGTGACAAGTTTTCACTTTTAACTTTTAACTCTTATGGTTAAATAGTTTCATTTACTGTGAACACCAGATGCAAGTATTTTCCATCAATATTTGCAACTCTGAGGGGAGGAGGGAGAGAGTTATATATAGGGCGGATAAGCTTGGAGGTCTTAACAGTGAGTAAGAGTTGTTCCACTTTATTACCATATCTAGATCAATGAATTTCTATTTGCCATGAAATGCATATCGACCTTTAAAACTTATACATTCCTTGTGACCTAGATATACAAGGAGGATCATCCATAGATGTTATATCATCTGAGGTTTGTTTAACAAATTGGTGCATTTCTATACATCTGTGTTTTTGGCTGAGGTGGGATACTGAAAGGACCTCAAAACAAAAATGATGGGTCCAACGAGCATGACTCAACGCATCAACAAATGATATCACATGCCTCCCGTTTTATTAATATTCTCCAAGGAAATAACGGCACCAGTGGTGTCCTCAGAGACAGGAGCATGAGACATCAATATGTATATGACCCAAAGATGAAGGGATACAAGGTAAACCAGAGACAATATTTTTGCGGGTGGATTTCTTCTGAGAAACACCATTCCGGCGCAGAAGATGGAGTCTAACTGCCGAATCAGTGATCCCAAATGCTGCTGGCCAGATCGCATTCTTTCTTCAAACAAAGGCCTCAACTTTGAGTTGGAGAGCTCCCACAACCCAGACTCCAAATCACCCATTGATGAGGTACTGGGAAAATCAGTTAACGTAGACTTGTTTTCTTCTAGCGACCTTGAAACCGCCTAAATATTATATGAAAAATTGGATTGAGCACTCTGTGAACTATCTGCTATTACAATTGAAATGGAAATATCTTATTTAAGGATATAAACGTACCTCAATTTTAAACGTCATTGTGGCCTTCTCAGAAGACAGCGCCTCAACCTACAGTAACAAGCAAACTTCAGAAACTCTGTCTATTATCCATGTACTATCATCTGCAGAAACCAGGTAATGACTCCCTATTGGAAGTTAGCATGTTCGTGAGCATTTACAGGACTAAAAGATAGTTCATCTGAAAACACTGCTGTTCTTCACATATTTAAGAATTCCAGATTAACTATACAACAGCCCTTATGAGCTGCATTGCAACAATTCTTCTTCTGCAACATCGCTTTTATGGTCTTAGGAGCACTAGCCGCCATGGCCTAAACAAAAGTCAAAAGACTTTTAGCTCATAGTTCAATTGGACATGTAGGTCAGTGGCTAAGATAAACTGCAGTATATATTTGCATTTCGGCATATTGAATATAGAACAGATTCATTGTTTTTTTAACAAGCAAATATAAGAAGTATTAGACAGCTCGAACATTTAAAGGATTGAGAGCAAGACTTCTTCCCAATAAAATTCCATATTCGAGTCACAGTTAATTAAGAGGAGGAACCTGAGATTGTTTTTGAATCAGATGATCGGTCAATTGACCAAGCCTCCGCTTGAGCTCAATTTCCACTGCAGTTGGGTTTTCCAGTTCATGCTGTGTTGTCTCAATGCTTCTTTCCAGTGTCTTTGCCTGAGATCCAGCGGTCACATCCACCGAATTAGATGAGTTTAACATCATAAAGAAAGCAAAGCAATAGCCATTCTATTTTCGATCTTGCATACAACTCAATCATACTTTTACACTCTTACATCAATTTCTTAAAATAATGTCCAATAGCATCTCCGACATACTAAAACAGTGTTTCAATTTCATGCTTGCAGTCTCTAAAGTATTAGTTATGCAGGATCCACCATATGCAAGACAAGTACTCTACAGAAGAAAATGGTCTTTTTCTCATAGCTGTAGAATGACATAAAACATTTACATACTAATTACAAACACAATGGTTAATATGGCAGCAATAACGATCAAGTATTCACAAAGTAGACATATTTTCTGACATTTAAATGTTCTAGCAGAAGTGCTTTAAATAAAGATGGAATACAGTGAATACACGGTCCACTCATATCCAATGTTTCCAAAGGTATTATGCTATCCTGGTCCTATATTAGTTCAAAAAGATCCAGCAGAGAAGTAAATTCGGATGGTGCAAAAAGTTGGGTCACCTTTTCCTGCAACAACCCCAATTTATCTGTTAAACAGGAGTGCTCTGCTTCAAGTATCTCTCTCTCCACTTCAACCCCTTTTGAAGCCACTAACTACAAGTAATTTTCATTGAAAAGAAAAAAGTTAGAAGATAGGGAAAAGGAAAATTTAGTTATCTAGAGATAAATCTGCTTAAAGACAAAGAGAAGCCGGCGTTGCTTACTTTTTCACCACTTCTCTGTGTCCTAGATATCTCCCTTCTCAATTCTGCAAGACAAGAAGATCAGTAAAAAGTTTCATTGATATATTTGTTGTGAAGAGACAAAAAAAAAAAAAAAAAAAAAAAAAAAATCATTTCTACGGACTATTTGTCAATCTCAATCTTTTGTGCTTTTATTGTTTCAACCAATGGATCTTATTCAAGAACAAGATGTGATCCTACACAAGCTGACAAGAAAACTGGCCTTCCTGTCCTATGAATCATTAAATCAACCAGCCACATATATTGCCATGCAATTTTTACTACGTTAATGTCTCAAGCAGGGTATGCCACATAATGATGTCACTGTACATTGAAAACTTTAACATAAGTTGTCTGAAATTCATATTATCACACATACCACAGATCTGTTCAGTTTACAAACGCACATCCGAAACACAAGTATGGTTATCACCTTTTCCTGACTAGTTTTAATAAAAAGTGCGACAAGGTAACAACTCTTGATTCAGTCAAGATCCAAAAGCATACCTTCATGAGCCGCTTCTTTTGACTCAACTTGTTGGCGTAGTTCAGCAACCTGATTAATCTGAAACATAAATATCAAACACTAGTTAATAACATGCTTCCTTTACAGTTTTCCAAAGTGTTGATACTCAAGCAGATACAATCAGAAATAGTAATATCTGAAGTTGAAAAAGTAATTGATTCATACTAAAGTTCAATTTAGTAATACTTTCTTCAAGCTGCTTTATTCTTTTAGAAAAAGATAAAATAGGGGAGTACGATAATTTTTTTGATAAGGTAAATTGTATTAATCAAAAGGGAGAAAACTCCCGTATACAAGAAGTATACCAAAAAGTACAGTTTCAAAAAAAAAAAAAAAGAAGTATACCAAAAAGTAGAGAATTTACATCAGAACATGATTCTCTACAAATGACGCCCAATCTTCTATACAAGTAGGGGCTATATGAGTGCATCAAAAAGCGATCAAAGATAAAAGACTATTATTAAGATATGAAAAAGGAGACTCAATCCCCTCAAGCTCTCCTATTTTTCTCCCCCAAAATTATCCACATGAGAGCTAACGGTGCGAACTTCCACGCCTTTTGCTTTCTTCTTCTATGGAAACCGGCCCAGCTATATAACATTTCCTTTACAGTGCTTGGCATCACCCATTGAACACCAAAAAGATTCAGGATTGCCCTCCACAAACCCGAGGACACAGGGCAATGCATCAAAAGATGATTAACTTCTTCCCCTGAGCTTTTACACATGTAGCACCAACTAACAAGTGTAATTCCTCTCTTTCGCAGATTTTCCGCCGTCAAGATCACTCCCCTCGCCGCTAGCCATGCAAAAAAGCACACCTTCGTGGGCGCCTTAGGAATCCAGATCGAGGAGTATGGAAAAGTAACCTCTTCTCTCACTAACATACTTTGGTAAAAGGACTTTACGGTGAACAAACCATCGCCATGCAACCCCCATCTCCAAGAATCACAAGATGCTAGGGCCTGTCTTGCCCATATAGCAGTGCCAACAAATCTTGGAGCTCCGCAATCTCCCAATCTTGCATGTTCCTTCTAAACGAGAGGTCCCATACTACCACCCCCCGCCCCCCCTTCATGCTCCTTGCTTATCTGTTGAACCATCAATTCCTTCTGGTTTGAAACGTGGGGAAAAGAGACCCTCAGAGTATCCTCTCCACACCACCTATGATTCCAAAAGCTGATTCTCCTTCCATCTCCCACCCTGTAGGTGATGTTACCATTGAAGGCTTCCCAATTATTCATGATGCTCCTCCACATGCCACACCAAAAAGGTGTTGTGATCGCCTTGGTCCTCCAACCTCCTCCCGTGGAATCGTACTTTTCTAGTATGACCTCCCTCCATAGAGCATGCTCTTCTACCCCGAATCTCCACAGCCACATCCCCAACAAAGCTCTGTTGAATACCCTAAAATCTTTTACTCCAAGTCCACCCCACTTCTTTGGGGAAGTGACTGTTTACCAATTCACTAGATGAAACTTTCTAGTTCCATCCGCCGCATCCCAAAGAAAATTCCTTTGAATCCGCTCCAGTTTTTTCTGTGATGCTCATAGGAGCTTACAACAGGGACAAGTAATAGGTGGGCATACTCGATAAGGTGTTTTTGATAAGCACTTCCTTACCGCCCTTTGACAAGTACCGTTTCTGCCAGCCTGCTAATCTTTTTTCAACCCTTTCAATCACTGGATTCCAAACCGTAGTATCCTTATGCAAAGCACCCAATGGGAGACCCAGGTAAGTAGTGGGAAGAGAGCCCACCTTACATTTGAGAACATAAGACAAAGCAATGATGTTAGCAACCTCACCCACCGGGAAAATCTCACACTTGCCGAGGTTGATTTTGAGTCCTGATACTATTGAAACCACTGCAGGACCTGCTTCAGGTAGGTCAACTGATCCATGTCGGCATAACAGAAAATCAGGGTATCATCCGCAAAAAGCAAATGAGAGACTCTTCGGGCACTGGGCGCCCCGATCGGAGCAGAAAATCCTATTAGGAAGCCTGCGCCAGCCGCACGATCCATCATTTCAGAGCATCCATCACTAGAATGAATAGCATGGGGAATAGAGGGTTACCTTGCCTGAGACCCCCAGAGCTGCCAAAGAAACCACATGGGCTACCATTAACCAGGACAGAGAATCTGACCGAGGAAATGCAGAACTTGATCCATCCCCTCCATCTTACCCAAACCCCATCCGCAACATAATGAAATGCAGGAACTCCCAATTGACACGGTCGAAAGCCTTCTCAAGGTCCAACTTACATAGTAAGTTGGGTTCTCTATTTTTCCTTCTGAAGTCTACAAGTTCATTTGCCACCAAAGCAGCTTCCAGGATCTACCTACCTTCCACAAACGCATTCTGGGAGGACGAAACAGACACGTCAAGAACCTTCTTGAGTCTATTGGATAGCACTTTAGAAATAATCTTGTAAATGCTCCCCACGAGACCAATAGGTCTGTAGTCTCTGATAAAAGATGCACCTTCTTTCTTAGGCACAATGGTATAAAAGAAGCGTTGATACTTCTCTCGAAAACACCATTCACGTGGAAGTATTCAATGACTTCCATCAACTCCCCCTTAATGGTGTCCCAACAGAGCTGGAAGAAGGCCAAAGAGAAACCATCAGGCCCGGGGGCCTTTTAGAAAAAGATAAAATAGGGGAGTACGATATTTATTTTTTTGATAAGGTAAATCGTATTAATCAAAAGGGAGAAAACTCGTGTAAACAAGAAGTATACAAAAAAGTTGAGAATTTACATCAGAACATGATTCTCTACAAATGACGCCCAATCTTCTATACAGGTAGGGGCTATATGAGTGCACAAAAAAGCGATCAAAGATAAAAGACTATTCTTAAGATGTGAAAAAGGAGACTCAATCCCCTCAAAAGCTCTCCTATTTCTCTCCCCCCAAACTATCCACATGAGAGCTAACGGTGCGAACTTCCACGCCTTTTGCTTTCTTCTTCTACGGAAACCGGCCCAGCTATATATCATTTCCTTTACAGTGCTTGGTACGATATTATGGTACGAATAACATATGAAGTCTTGGTTCACTTGCTCAGAGCAACATATACTCACTTATTTGTTCCTTCATTCACATTTATTGGCAACAACCTTTATTTTACTATTTTTTTTTTTTGGGG